CAAGAAGTGCAATAAAATGCCATAAATCACCCAGTTTTATTTCCTCTTTGTGAGCACTACATAAAGATGAATTTCTGGCAATTTCTAGATACACACAGGTTTTGCAAGTGTGATTATTTCTTCAGGTTGTGTTGCACTGGGTAATTTCAAAACATGCACAGAGAGTGAATTGAAGAGAGACCAAAAGGTGAAAAGCTGTATGTACTACTCCTTCTCCCTGCTCCCTTCCCCCTGTGCCGGCTGTTTTGCAGAGTCAGCCTTCCATGCATCATCAGCTCTCTACAAGCAGTGGAAACCCCCTCCCTAGAAGTCTGAGGCCTTGTGCAAAGCCATAGGATTTGGCTATCCCAAATGCATTCTGGTGTATTTCTTATTCTACTCCTCCCCCGTGTTTACATTCCAGCTCATTTCTCATTTTCCATGGGAAAGAAAGATACTAACAGGTATAACAAGGGGCCTTTTAAATATTTCCTGATTCCTGCTTCCAAATGGAACCCTGAAACTGTGTTTTACAGAGGTTTTCACACAATGTAATTTTAATAGTAGCATAACTTTTATTGAAGTTTTGTTAAAGTGGGAAAAATAGTAAAAAATAAATTATAAATTCTTTTAATGTTAATTGCTAATGTAAAGTGGAATTACTGCTGGTTTATTAAACACAAGCAAGTCTGATAAACCCAGCCCTCCAATTTTACTTGGAGCTTGGTAATTTTTCTTAGGTGACTGTTCAAAGGGTTTAGATCCCAACTTAATTCACTTTAAGGTTTATTTTAATTTCATAGGTAATTAGAGGTACTTTTCTTCATGTTAAAGATACCTGATGTTGCAGAATGATAACAAAATCCCCAACACCCAGTTGGGACATAAATGGGACATATTAAAACATCCCCCAACATTCATTTTGTGTCCCTCTAGATTAACCAGTTGGCTAGTAAGCGCTGAGCCAAATTCTGCCTCAGTGACTCATATGCAGCCAGTCTCCCTCCGACCTTAATGACAGTTCTGTGCCTACGTCTAAGGGCAAAATTTGACCCATTTTTTCCCAGGGTGGTAATGGGCTCAGATGCATCTTCCTTCTCCTATTTTGCTCTGCTGATGGATGAGTGCAGTGCACCAGCACAAACAATCGTGGTATAGATCCTAAACATAAATGCGATGTTAATTTCAAGGTCTATTAGCAGCACCACGAAAAAAAATAAATGTTTGACAGGACAAAATCTGCAGGGGAAAAGAAAACATTATTCTCAAGCTTCAGGGAGGTTATTATTACAAACAATGGAGAATCGATAAATTATATTTAACACTATTAAAGGCAGTTGACAGTGTTCCTTTGAGTGAGCACACCGAGGTCCTGAACACCGTGTGACTGCTGCCCGAGCGCCCAGAGCTTTCTAACTCACCACTGGGTCACGCTGGGAACACTGCACAGCGTTTGTGCAAGGGCTGTGGGAAGTGCCCTGTGCCGAGCACACAAACACACACTCACACTCACACTCACACACACACAAACTCACACTCACACACACACTCACTCACACACACACACACACACTCACTCACACTCACACACTCACACACACATCACAGACATGCACACTCACACACTCACACACACACACAAAAACACGCACACACTCACACTCACACTCACACACACACACTTACACACAAACACATACACACACTCACACACAGAAACACACACTCAGACACACATATACACACACATACACACACACAAAAACACACACACGCTCACACACGCTCACACACACAAAAAACCCACACACACACTCACACACACACACTCACACACACACAAACATACACATACACACACACACTCTCATACACACTCACGCACTCACACAAACACTCACACACACAAAAACACACATATGCACACACACTCACACACACAAACATACACATACACATACACACACACTCTCACACACTCACACACACACACACTCACACACACAAAAACACACACACACACACTCACACACAAAACACACACACACAAACATACACATACACACACTCTCACACACTCTCACACACTCACACACACACACTCACACACACAAAAACACACATATGCACACACACTCACACACACACACAAACATACACATACACACACTTACACACACTCTCACACACACTCACGCACTCACACTCACACACACTCACACACACAAAAACACACATACGCATACACACTCACACACACACACACACAAACATACACATACACACACACACTCACACACTCACGCACTCACACTCACACACACACACACACAAAAACACACACACTCACACACAAAACACACACACACAAACATACACATACACACACACTCTCACACACACACACACTCACACACAAACATACACACACTCTCACACACACTCATGCACTCACACTCACACACACAAAAACACACACACACACACACACTCACACACAAAACACACACACACACACAAACATACACACACACACACACACACACACACACACATCAATAAACTAAATCACAGCCTGCCCCCCCTGCCCCCCAGCTTGTTATGCTTAATTTCTGAGCTGGTGAAGTGGGCTGCTGCACACTCTCAGGGCTGTTTTTTGTTTCGTTTGAAAGCAAGTGGAAAGGCAAAAGCAAACAGGGTTTTGGCTACGAAAGGATGACCTTCCTTGCAAAGAATTTAAGTTTTTTTAACTTCAGAGGGGAATGAGGCAGGAATGCTGTTTGTATCTGAACACTAACATGGTGAAGGGGAATGGGGGGAGGGAAGCGGCATCTTCCTCCTATCACTTCGGTGCTTTCAAAGATCCCCATTTCCCAGAAGTACTTCTGTAGCAGGATAATATAATTATTAGCAGCTGTTAAAACAAACAACAAACAAAAACAAAAAGCGCAGGCCAGGGCTGGCATGTGTGCAGATGCCTGAGTGCTCTGAGCGCCGCACGGAGCGCTCCGGAGAGGCCCCTTTCCCCACGCACCGCTCGGCTCGGGCGCGGTGGGGCCGAGCGCAGCGGCCAGAGGCATTTATTTTCATCCATTCATCTTATGAATGCCCAACACTCCTCCATTTGACGAGTGCAGCGTTGATTCTTTTGCTGCTCGAGCACGCTCTCCCATAAACAAAAGGCAGAAGAGATGACTTATTTCAGATTTAGAGAAACACGGGGAGGGGGGACAAATGAAACAACAGAAGGAGCAAATGCAAAAACTTCCACTCTTTTAAAGAGGAATATGGGGAGAAGCGGAGAGGGGGAGAAAGAGGTTAAATGATGGTTTGCTCCGGTGGCTTTAAAAATCTGACAAGTGGTAGGATTTCTGATCACATCTTTTGTTGTCATGTGGCTCGTTCCTGGGATTGCGGGGGGTGTGGTTTGGGTGGGGGGGGATGCAGATCTTTCTCTCTTTCCCTTTTTAACAAGAGCCTTCAGGGCCTTAAATTCTGGCTAAAAGTTTATAAACATGATCCTGGGAATCTGTAAAATCCAAAAGCGAATGAAAGCATTCCCATGCGAATTGTTTATTAAAATCACATGATTTTTAAGTAGCTCTCATGATTCCTTGGGCCAGTTTCACGATTCTGAAAGCTCAGTGTTGGCGCTATAAATTCTACCTGTTCCCTGGGACTACTTTTTCTGATTAGCTGGCTCTAGGCAGCTACTTGGTCTGCAAATTCCTGTTCGGAATCTTCCATTCATTTATTAACAAGGCAGAGGGGCACAGGTAGAGTGTCAGCCCCATGAATATGAATGACCTGCTTGAGTGATCCGGGTGGCAGGCACCAAAGCAGCGACTCACAGCAATTTAAAACATGACTGCCTCCAAGAGTGCGCACCCTCCCTCCCTCCCTCCCTGCTTCGAGGATCCCATGCCGGAACAGCGATGCGGTGTGTCAGTGCAGAGCCGCCCTTTCTTTAAGCTGGGGCTGCAGTGGCTGAGGCACGGACACGGGTTCGGGCTGTGCCGCCGGAGCTCCAGCGGAAGGCAGGCAACATCTGGACCAGGGGCAGGGCGGGCAGGAGGGTTTGAAACCGCTGTAGCAGAATGCACTGGCTCCCATCCCCGAGTCTGCAGCAGCTAAAATGAAATGCAAAATGGCACATATCGCATGCATGTCCCCTTTGTCTGGGAGGGAGAGACTTCTCTCATTAAAGGGGCAGTACGCAAAAGCGGCGAGGTTTCTGACGCTGTTAAGCTTCCTGGTATCTTTCCAGGCTGGATAATAATTGGCAAATGTCGAAGTCTTAAACAAAATTTAGCGGTAGTTAAAAATGTGACTAAACCCCGAAGGTTGGTATTAAACCCAGACAAATCCCTTTAATATACTGGGCCAGACCTGCTGTAAGTATTTATGAAACTTTGCAGCTTGGACCCCTCTCCACTGATAATGACGGTCAGTCTTGTTATCATGGACCTCTTCCTTTGTCCTTCCCTTGCCTGCCAGGCAAAGAAGCTCTGCCGCTTACATTTTCTTCTTGACCCTCCTTGTCCTTTTCTCAAGTGCCTCTTATGCTGGTTAGATAAAAGGTAGCAGTGTTCTAAAATGCTGCCTCTGTAGTTTTGCTATGTAAAATGACATTCATTCTAAAGAGTGGTAAGAAAATAATGATCTCATTAGAAGAGAGTTTAGCTGTGTAGTGGTTCCTCTCTGTAGTGGAGATTAAATAGCAGCTAACTACAAACAATAGTCATTTAAACAAAGAGCCAGCATCAAAGTTATTATCTCTCTTTCTGCCCTTCAAGAACATCATCAGAAATTGATCCTCTCACCACTGCACATTTTCATCAAAGGTTCTGAATTTTAAGCTTGAAACACTAATTGTTTTGTGCATGTGCATGTGTGTGTGTGTCTATGTGTGTTCTAAACTGGTTTCTCAAGTTGGTGTTCTTAACTAATTTTTGGTGACATTTCACTTTTTTTTGTCATTAACTTTCTTAATTGTTGTTTTTTTTTTCTTTCTTCCTCAGAAAGAATACAAATCCTGTCTCAAAAAAGAGAGGTGAAATGGCAGAAATAAAAGAAATAATAGTGCAAACATTTTTTTCTCTTCTGTGTATAAGGAATGCTAGGAGCATGTGGTCATTGCACATTTGGGAAATGTAATAAAACAGGTGGTTCAGAGTTGCAGATACTGCCCAGACTGTAATCAGAGTAAGAGAAGGATGGGAATGATGAATCTGGGATTTCCGAATTTTTGCCACATCTAGGAGAATGTTAAAGTGGAATTGCAGGACATGAAGCAAGGAAATGAACAGCCACCCTTCTCTCCTGTGACCCAACACCTCCACCTCCTCAGGTGATGGTACATAATTTGTTTCCTTTCTGAAACGAGAGCCTACCTTTCTTGGTTAATGCCTGCTCAGAGCAGAACCTCTGCTCTTTACACTCATGCAGCTTTTGAGCTGTGGAAGGGGAGAGGCATGAGAAGCAAACTATCCAGGAACATGTAATTTAAAACTGGAGCTCTCTGGTTGATGCTCACACTGTTGGAATTGCTGCCATGCAACACCACTGAGGGAGGCCCCTCCTGCATTTCAGGGATGGCAACAAGCAAAGGAGTGGTGTGTAATGATGATTATGGTGTCGGTTCATGTATGCATACATGCAGCAAACCCCAAGTTATTTGATTTGTGGTTGTCTCAAATTCAAGCATACATTCTATGTCAGGAAAGAACAGCTTGTGAGAAAATTACCCTCACTGTAGTGCATGAAAATGCTTCATTTTTCTAAACATCTTTGTTCAGTATGAAGAACCACATGCATGAAGACCCAAAATACAGAGCTGTCACTGTTTTTTTAAGGGTAGATGTATACAGTCACCTATGTTTACTGTGACCTCCAAATGCCAATTATATTTCTAGGAAATCTGAAAGAAAAATGTCAGGCTTTTTGTTTGAGATTTCCCGTGAAAAGTGAAAACTGAAAATGCAGCAATAGCTTGGTTAAAGCCTCCGTCTAGCTGGGGTTGGTCTGATCTGAATGGATTTCTTTCTGGAACAGTTCTCTTTGCTGTGAAAAACATTGTAAAGTATGTATTTTTCTTTCCTTGAAAGTACATTTTTATTCAAAGAGATTTTTTTATCTTTTAAATGAAAAACATTTTTTCCAAGTCAGCTAGGGGTATAAAAGTGCCCAAATACTAGTGAGTCTGAATTCCTGACCTCTGATCTGGAGAGGTTACTGAATGCATAATGTTGAAGAATAGCAAAAAGGGAAGAAGTGTAATAAAAGATAATAGCAGTGACTTCTACTACCCACATCCAGTCGAGAAAGAAGTTATCTAAGGACATTGTAGCACTCACAGAAGCAGCTAAAAAGAAAGCAGGAAGAAAGAGAAAACAAATTATGATTAAATGGCGAAGTTCAAAATGCTGTTTGAGGTAAGCAAGATCCTCTGGAAAATGGAGAGAGAGCAGGAATGAAGCCAAAAGTAAAGAGTGCAAGCTATGATAAGAAAAAAAGAGGATGAAAATTCTGAAGAATGGCAATTACTTGATAATAAGGGTTATTTAAATATGTAAGATACCGTAAGCCCATCTGTCCACAGGATTTCAAGGATGCAAGGAAAGCAATTAAGGGGAACAGGGTTCTTCCAGAGAGTTTTGACAACTCCTTTGATTGTCAGCAGGGTAGATGGTACAGAGGAATGCAGTGAATTTGTGGAAGAGTCAAATTAGTTTCACATTGGTGCTGTGCAAAATGCACAAAAGCATTGCCCTGCAATGCCAGGCCATCTGTGTGACCTACCTGGGGTTGTGGCTGGAAACACTTCTTCCAGAGCTGGTGACAACCCACAGGATGGGGACTTGTGTAGATGGGCTGAATCCGTGGGAGCTGCCTCTGCTATTTCCGAAGGTTTTTTTCATGCTGTTACAAGTCTCTGGTTGTTCAGCTCTGCTGCTTGCTCTGCCTCTCTGGGGAGCAAAGCAGTCAGGACAGCACTGCCTAATGAACGGAGCACAGCAGCAGGAGGTCTTCCACCCTGGTTTATTCATTGTGGCCCCAGGTTTTACTTAGCAAAACTCCTTCACTCACAAAACAAGTTTAATGCTGTCTCTGATACAGTGTATGGCTACTGTACCTTGACTTTCAATTACATTAAATCCTATTATAATCACTTTCTTTATAACAAATCCTCTTTAACACCTGAAAAGCTCAGTTCCCATGGGTGCAGTGCTGTGTTCTTGAAATAAAAAACAGTGGAATTCTAATGGAAATGCATTAACTGGGAGAATACTTTGAAAATGTGCCTGGCATGAAAGGCCTTCAGCACGCAGCTTACATTCAAATAGCAGAGGAGAAAAAAATTTCCAGAGCCAAGCACTTGTACACCAGCTGCCTTAAGATAGAGTGTCTGAATCACTGTGTTATCACAGTAAAACATCTTGTATGGAAAATCATCACTATCCAAAGACAGGTCAAGTACAGGTTATCTAAGTACTGTTATTATAGAACTGAATGTTTTCCATCAAAACAGGAGCAAGAATTTGAAGAGATTTACGGTGATGGCCAAGAGGCTCAGTGGTATAGTTGATAAACCATGGAGCTTCTTTGTGATTCTTTTATTTGTTGTTGCTGCTGTTTTTTTTCTGGCTGGCAGAAGGGCACCAAAAGTAGTGTGCCACTATTTGTTAACAATTCTTTTCATGGTTCTACCCTTCCTGGAAAAATAAAAAGATTTTGTGCATGATTCACATGTTGTTTGTTTTTTCTTGTATAAAAATTACCATCCTGTTTTCTATTAAAATGAGAAATAATGACTCATGTCGCTTCATTGGGGGAGATAGAGAGAGGGGGAGAATATTTCTAATACAGATGCAAATCTGGTACCTCATCCAAACAACTGGGTCTTTCTCAATGCACTTTACATACAGCTTGAAAAGGAAATGCTCACTCAGAGGTTCTAGGAAATAGCAGGTAAAATGAATGACGTGAATAATTCATGTCTTTAGGGTACCATACACATCTTGGTCTGTTTTCCATGATAGTTGGGTTTGCTGAGGGAACCTGAAAGCCTGAGCTACACCTTTATGCTTAGAAACTATTTGTGGAGTTCTTTAACACACTGGCCAAACACTGAAGAATAGTGTATGCAACACTTTTGCATACAGTTTTTAGCAGTAGAAAAATCCTCAGCCCTGTTCTTATCTTGAGTACTGGTTCATGCCTTTGCTTTCTTGGCCCTACCTCTAAGTGGGGAATACACTGCAAACACAGTTTGTAGTAAATGCTTTCTTGTGTAGATCTTAAATGTGAAATAATTTAACTTGCATTTTAACTTACATGACCCCTCTTGGTACATACATACCTTCTTTAAATGTCACCAGATTTGATTGCATTTCAACCAAATTTCTGGCAGTGGTGCTGGTAAACGCCATGCTGAGCTGGGAGGACTACTCAGATGTCCTTCTTGACCTCATCAGCAACAAAAAAAAAAGAAATAGTGATCACAGTTTTCCAGTGTAGCCAACTGCCTTCTGACCTAGAGCTCTGTTTTAGTGATAGTGGGGCCCCATATCAGCTTATGGTGACTGTGAACCTGCACCCTGAGGAGTCTGTCATTAAGTATGTGCACACATTTCTCCTTGGTTTTCAAGCTAAGGACACAACAGTGTATGCAGGCATGTTCTGCTGCTAGGATATGGCAAAATGTGATGGCTTTATTGAATGGTGAATGTGCACTGACATAAGGCAATACTCTCTTTCAAAGAGAAAAAACCCATTATTTTTTTTCTGTGTAGGAACCTTTTTATAGATTATTGTGTGTATAATTCTGCGGAAGTAGCATACTTCTTCTTGCAAAGTGGAGCTAAAAAATTGTCTGAATTTTGTGGAAAGGTTATATAACTGTACTCTTTCTTTAAATAGTACTTTTTATTCATACTGCTTACTTTCTCATCAGTAGGAAAAAATATTTTCCTAGCACAAAAGGTAATTTCCAAAGGACTGTAATTAGTTCATGAAAACTGCCTTTTGTCATATCTCCTCAGTTGAAATGGAAAAAAAGATGGACCTTTTTCTTTGTTAAAACAAAAACATAGCATATGAGGTAAGGGAGCCTAAAGGAATCATATAACAATTTGTGTCTTAGGTCTACAGAAAATGATATTGCAGCAGTACTGTAGATTCATGACTTCTCACTTTGATTGCCAACTTTTGGAAAACCTAGAAGTGGTAACTGTCATCTATTTCTTTGCTCATCTCTCCTGAGAGAGAGCCTGGAGCCTTATGAAAAAGAGATATAGTTCAAGTGCTAATGGGGAGATAAGAAGGAAGCTATAAAAGCCTTAATACTGCAAGGTGACTCTAGCACAGTCACATACACTTTTGATCTCTGAGAATCACCTGTGTTCACCACTGTTTTTTGGTCCCAAACAGGAGAGAAGGGGTACTAACATAAGGAAAAAGACTGACAGAGATTTAGGTAAAATGAAAGGAAAGACATGAGGACATAAGAAAAAAGGAAAGGCAAATATTGATGGCAGTCAATAATAAAGAATGGCTCCTAAAAAGATATTCTGTCAGAAATAATATTTTTAAAAAATGTAAGAATTTCATTTTGGGTGATGTTTTTAACACTGTGTTAAAAGGTCATAAATTTTAGCAATAGTCAAAGATAAGAAGAAAATAAAAAAATTATGGAAAGAAGAGGAACTAGAATCTTCTCACCCTCTCATCTTTCTTCTATGTTCTTATTTTGAACCACTGCCAATAAGTGATTTATTTTTTAATAATAAACAGATGATGCAACCATTTCTGCTGTATCCCCTAGATTATGGTCATGGATGAAGAAAGGAGAAATATCTTCTGAACAAAGGTTCTTATTTACATAAAGATATAGCTAATCCTAAAATCATAAAAAATGATACTCTAAATAAATTTGGGGCCTATAAATAGAAGTCAATTTTAAAGGGCTTACTTAAATAGGCTCAAACCACAAAATAGAAGTTTATTGAAATATGGTTTTAAATAGAAGTTTATTTGAGTAGGCACAAGCCATAAATTTCAAATCCAGATTTAGAAACCCCCAAATTTTAGGAGTGTTTGGAGCTATGGTTTTTGTTTCATCCCATTATAGTGGAGGTTACTTTTCATTTAG